ACTCAAAGAATATTCGACCAGGTAGATAACGAAAGGGAGAGGGGGAAGGGAGAGGGCAAGAAAGGGAAGAGAGAGGGGAGGCAGAACATGAAGAGGAGGAGGAACGAGAACAAGCAGAGGAGAGAGGAAGCAGAACAAGCAGAGGAGAGAGGGAGGCAGAACAAGCAAAGGAGAGGCAGGCAGAACAAGCAGAGGAGAGAAGCAGAACAAGCAGAGGAGGGGGGAGGCAGAACAAGCAGAGGAGAGGGAGGCAGAACAAGGAGAGGAGGGGGAGGAGGCAGAACAAGCAGAGGAGGGGGGGGAGGCAGAACAGAGGAGGGGGAGGCAGAACAAGCAGAGAGAAGCAGAACAAGCAGAGGAGGGGGGAAGGCAGAACAGAGGAGGGGGAAGCAGAACAAGCAGAGGAGGAGGGGGAAGCAGAACAAGCAGAGGAGGAGGGGGAAGCAGAACAAGCAGAGGAGAGGGAAGCAGAACAAGCAGAGGAGGAGGGGGAAGCAGAACAAGCAGAGGAGGGGGAGGCAGAACAAGCAGAGGAGGAGGGGGAAGCAGAACAAGCAGAGGAGGAGGGGGAAGCAGAACAAGCAGAGGAGGGGGAGGCAGAACAAGCAGAGGAGAGGGAAGCAGAACAAGCAGAGGAGGAGGGGGAAGCAGAACAAGCAGAGGAGGGGGAGGCAGAACAAGCAGAGGAGGAGGGGGAAGCAGAACAAGCAGAGGAGGAGGGGGAAGCAGAACAAGCAGAGGAGGGGGAGGCAGAACAAGCAGAGGAGAGGGAAGCAGAACAAGCAGAGGAGGAGGGGGAAGCAGAACAAGCAGAGGAGGGGGGGGAGGCAGAACAGAGGAGAGGGAAGCAGAACAAGCTGAGGAGGCAGCAACTTAAGATCTGCTACAGGTTGAGAAATGAGCAGGAGAGACGGAGAACAACACAGTTCTGGGACACGACACAAGAGGGAGGGGAGAGCAAGCACGGTAAAGTAGGAAAGGGAAAGAGATAATGGAAAAGGAGAATGGGACAAAAAGTGGTGGGAAAGTACGGAGGGGGGGACGGACTGAAGAGGTAACAAAGACGAGAACGGAAAAGTGGAAATATAAGTACTTGTAAGGAAAGGAAAGAGGGGAAAATAATGGAACAGGGAACTGCGAGAGAACGAATCGGAGAATGGAAGGGAAGGAGAGAAGCGGGGAAGTGGACTGGACGTCAAGGCTTATTAAAGGCGGACAAGGCGGAAAGTGACGAGGAATGAAAAGGGATACGAGAAGATACTGAGGAAATAAGCGTTGAAGAAACAGGAGAAAATGACAGATCAGAAGATAAAAGAAGGAAGATAAAATAGCTCGAACAGACAGAGAGATACTGGGTGGGAGAGGGAGAGGAAGGAGACACAGAAGAAGAGAATAACAACATGAAATATAAAAAGGAAGGCTCAGGAGGAGAATACAGGGACCCGGGGAGAATGGATATTCCAACAGAAAAGGACAGACAGGCCAGCCCCGTACTACTGATTTGCCAGTCAAAAATCCATCCATGTTGTCTATCCACAAAACATACGAACGCAAACAACCCACCTAGCCTATCCAGGGGACCAGATTCACGAAAGCACTTACGCAAGCACTTACGAACGTGTACATCTTTCCTCAATCTTTGACGGCTTTGGTTACATTTATTAAACAGTTTACAAGCAGGAAAACTTCCCGTTCAACTGTTTTTATTGTTATAAACAGCCTACTGGTGCTTCGGAGCTCATTAACTGTTTAATAAACGGAAACAAAGCCGCCAAAGATTGAGAAAAGAAGTACAGGTTCGTAAGTACTTTCGTGAATCTGGCCCTAGTCCTTTACATAGAAAACGTGAATATTTGTGAGCTGTTATTTTTCTTAATAGGTTGCATTTGTAACGAATAAAACGCAACGTATTTATCTCAAATCGATTCCGAATTTTGTAACCCATCTAAAACCCACAAATGAAAATACTTTTACAATAAAGAAATGTATGGGAACAATGTTAGAATAATTAAATACTGTGTACTAGTTTGTGGCGCGGATCCCGGATGATAATAGGACTACAGGAGTCACGCGGTTGGCGGAGGATTACCATACGCGATCAGGCTACAACATCTTCCTTAGTAAATCATTCTCAATCATCCATACATTAAAGTTGTAACATTTTCAGCAGAAAAAAATTAAAGAATACACATTGAGGCTTAATATAACTCCCCAGAGCCTCTAGAACGACGGACCAGCATTCAAACGGCACCTATATTGGCGCCATTTTTTTGTTCAATCAAAATTCGGTTAGAAGACGGTTTTAACGGTTTTAACGGTCACTCTCGCCTCGTAGACAGGATGATTGCTTGAACACCCTAGATAAAGTGATCCCAAACGGCTTATTGCGTAGTAAAACAACACTAAATAATCGATTTTGCCGGGAGGACTGACGGGGGAGGGGGGTTAGTAGGGAGGCTGGTCGCTGGGGGGGGGGAGGGGTTAGTAGGGAGGCTGGTCGCTGGGGGGGGGGGGGGGGGGGGGGGTAGGGGGGTCTTAATATGATGTGGGGTCCACTGGCAGCGGTACGCATCGCCAGCAACAGCTACCGCGACGCACAACTACAGCGACGCACAACTGCCGCGACGCACAATTACCGCGACACATGCCTCTCGCGACGCACAACTGCAGCAACGCATGCCTCTCGCGACGCACAACTACCGCGACGCACAACAGTGGGGACGCACGCATTTCGCGACGCCCTCGGCGATAAATCGGCATTTCGAGAACCATCAACACACCTGAAACAGACTATCAAAGAGTTCTTGCTGACCTTACAGCTATAAAGACAGCCAGAGAGGGGAGAGGAAGTTTACTGAGGAGAGTAGAGGGGTTGGGGGAAAGAGTAGGGGGGACTGAGGGGAGAGGAGCAGGGCTAGGGTTGGGGGGGAGAGGAGTGAGGATTTTAAAGGGTGGTTGATGGGGATAAAGAAGAAATTATCTACTTGTGATGCTGTAATTTGATGTTAATTGATGCCATCTTCAAGTCGACTGCTTCTCCCCAGCCCTCCCCCTGCCTCTCCCCACCTCTCCCCTACCTCCTCCCCTCACTGTGTTCCACTCCCCTCTGCGTCATCCATAACCCTCTAATGTAACTTTTCATTCCCTTTATGACTATTTTTTTTGGTAAGCCCTATCTCTTCCATCCTGACTATTCAATCTATCCCTCCTGCTTTTCTCCTATTCCGGCTTTTCAAACTGCATTTCCGCAATGCTAAAGATGAATCTTCCACTTCGTATACGGGCTATTCATGCCCGTGCCCCACCTCTTGGGCACTGCCTTGTTTAAGCTTCAGCAATCAATCATCCACTTCTTTCTGGACCGCTAATCACAATTCCCTTTCCCACTTTTCCCAATCCTCTAAAGCACCTCTATTACCCCCCCCCCCCTTTTAACCTTCTCTGTTCTTCTTCCCCCTCACTATTTGCTCGCCTATTTCTTTCTACCCATTTCTCCTACTTTCCTTCTTCCTTTCACCCATGCCTTCTTAGTCGAACTTTCTTTTTGTACTCTTCTCTGCTTCCTCTTACGTAGGTTCTTTCATTACATAATTTTCTCTTTCTTCCGCCCTTCCCTTCAGCCTATTTTCTTTCTTCGATCACCCTCATCACCCCTCTCACCCGGCACCGGTCCACTCTTGTACCTACCACCTTCTACCTCTCCCATCACCTCTCCCTTCTGCGTATACTGCCTTCATCACCTCTCTCATCCACAGAGCCGCAGGAGTATTTAACAAATAACACCTTTCTCTACTTTCTCCATCTCTCCCCCCCCCTTTTATATCCCCTCTCTCTCTCTCTCTCCACTTCTCCCACCCACCTCCCCGTCTCTCTCTCTCTCTCTCCCTCTCCCCCCTCCCTAACACATTCTGATGGAATGGAATAAGTGTATTCCTAATAATAGCATCTATGTCTGCTCACTTACCTCTTCCACTATGGTGCCTCTGCTCCCCTCCCCCACCATCTCCATTATTCCCCTTTTCCCTCCACTATTCTTTCTTTTGCGACTACACTATTCCCAACCACCAGAGACGAGAGAGAGAGAGAGAGAGAGAGGAGAGAGAGAGAGAGAGGAGAGAGAGAGAGAGAGAGAGAGAGAGAGAGAGAGAGAGAGAGAGCATTCCCTGTGCACGTGTCTCATCATAATCAACTCATTAAGCAATATGAAAATAATCAATGTGGTGTTGAAAATATCAACACATCAGCAACATGAAAATAACCCTATTTTAGCTCCATATGTTTTTCATAAATTCTCTCGGAAACACTTAAATCATTATTCTATAACACAAAATTTCAATATAATTAAGAAAATAGCAAAGACACAATTAGTTCATAAAAGTTGAATATCGTAATTTGTGACTATCACTATTAGTTTACTGGAGTAATGACACCGGTTACCCATTTATACACACACCATTAGTCTCTTAATATTCCTCAGTGTCACCATTAATTCCAGCACCCATATTAACTCTTGTGTCACCATGTATCACCATTATTTTCATTATATCCACTACTGACAATGTCACTATATATATATATATATATATATATATATATATATATATATATATATATATATATATATATACATAAATAAATATATATATATATAAATATATATATATAAATATATATATATATATATATATATATATATATATATATATATATATATATATATATATATATATATATATATATATATATATATATATATATATATATATATATATATATATATATATAATGTATGTGTATATATATATCCAGTTCACAATTATGCATTGTGTCTCTCATCATCAAACCATTTCTCTCTACACATCACATTCTACACACTCACCTTTATAACTCATGTTCCATCATCTTCGTCACAGTCACCATCCAATTCCATCAGAGCACAAAATGATTATGATCATCTTCACTAATACCAACTCTCAAGATTAACATCACTTTCTACTCACCATCTTGTTGTTGATTTCGTGAAAGTGAATCTCGCACACTTTGTCCACAACGTCCTCACTTTCGAAGGTCACGAAGCCGAACCCTGAAAGAGAAAATGACGAAAGTGACTCGCCTGGAAATAGATATTTACAACACAAAAGAAAATGATCAAACTCTAAATTACTCTTCGGAATTTTTCCTTTGGATCCAAAATTAAAACTACTACACAATAGGAAGAAATATTACACACACACACACACACACACACACACACACACACACACACACACACACACACACACACACACACACACACACAGGGGGGGTGTATGTTTGTGTGGATAGCACGCTGGACACGTAATCCTGTAGCCCGGGTTCGATTCCCGGCGCCGGCGAGAAACAAAAATGAGCAGAGTTTCTTTCACCCTGATGCTTCTGTTACCTAGCAGTAAATGGGTAACTGGGAGTTAGCCAGCTGTTACGGGCTGCTTCCTGGGGGTGGGGGGGGGGGTGTATTCACCTAGTTGTTCTTGCGGGGGTTGAGCTCTGCTCTTTCGGCCGCCACTCAACTGTCAATCAATTGTTACTAAAAGGAAGCAAACCTCACGTCGCTGAAATTAATTCTTGTTTAATTCTTCTACGTCGCAGAAGAGTTAGGGAACAAATGATTAACACACAAATTTATCGTGAAAATTGATAGAGTAGATTAAGCGAGATTATTAAGCACAGTTGGCAGTATACGGATTAGAAATGGGACGGGGGGGGGGGAAGGAATGGTTCCCGAAAGGTCGGGGATTGAACGCCAACTTGCAATACCTGTCGCTTTAGCGTCCAGTCCAAGTGGTTGATTTGAATTGGAATGCACTAAAAAGTGATGTGGTGGAGGCAGACTATATTATAGTTTCAAATGCAGATATGACATAGTCCAATAGGTCCAGTAATCTGTACACCAGGTGATTGGCAGTTGAGAGGCGGGACTGAAGAGCTGAAGTTCGAGCCCCGCAAGCACAACTAGGCGAGTACACCCTTACAGTACAATAGTGACGAACAGCTTCATCAGTATGGGACATTCGACATAATTTCGACCAGACAAACACAAAAACATTACAGCATTTTCAGAGTTAATATTCGTCAGGGACACAGCTGACGCTTTGATTGTGTTTTGTGTTTATATATTCATGTGTGTGTGTGTGTGCATGGGTGGGTGTAGGTGGGTGTTGGTGCGTGGGAGGGTGTGGAGGTGCAGGAGTGTGTGTGTGTGTGTGTGCATGGGTGGGTGTAGGTGGGTGTTGGTGCGTGGGAGGGTGTGGAGGTGCAGGAGTGTGTGTGTGTGTGTGTGCATGGGTGGGTGTAGGTGGGTGTTGGTGCGTGGGAGGGTGTGGAGGTGCAGGAGTGTGTGTGTGTGTGTGTGCATGGGTGGGTGTAGGTGGGTGTTGGTGCGTGGGTGGGTGTAGGAGGGTGTGGGCGTGTGCGTGTCGCCCCCTCCAAAAAGCACTAAAAAGTGTAAGCACTGATCGCCGTTGCGGTCGAGAGTGGAAAACTGAGATTGAGGAAGAGAATAGATAAAAAATGAGAAATTCCCAAACCCTCTTCCGTTCCCCCCCCCCCCAAAAAAAAAAAATATACCAACACGCTGGATTTAGTGTAAAGGTCCAACAACCGGATTGGTCCAGAGGAGCGAAGACCCAATTGCGTCGTGGAGATCACAGACCGACTTAGACCATTCCCCCTAACCCCCAACACTCCCCAGCCTCCCCTCCTCCTCTTCTACAACACTTCTCCCCCAGCACCCCTCCACCCAAATGTTTCCACATCACACGTACCCCCCCCCCCTCCCCCATCACAAGAGTACCACCTCGCCCCTCCCCCCCCTCCAACAGCATGTGTCCATAAATCTATAACAAAATTCCTTGTCGTGCAGTGCTCCATCTTCGAGTCATTAAGCCCCGCAAGCTGCATGCCTAACACAAATAGGCCTTGGGCGCTGTCTGTTACCTTGGTAGGCTGATTACTCGTCGCTGGAAGAGACTGTCTCAACCTGGTGAGTGATCAAGACGTTTTTAATCTGAAACTGCGTTTCATTAAGTAAATAACATAACACTTATCTAATGCCTCCAAAACTAACAAAGAATAATTGGCCGAGAGTAATAAAATGCATTTTGGAGAATTGATTTTTCAATTACCATCGACAGTAAAAAGAAACATAGGAAATATTGAGAAAATTCGTATTAGAATTATTAATCTTACTTTTTTGGTCATATATATATATATATATATATATATATATATATATATATATATATATATATATATATATATATATATATATATATACATATATATAAATATCCATATATATAAACATTAATAATTGAGTAACTAACGTCAAAAGATTGTTATTGCTTAGCTAAACGAACTATGGGGTTAATCGGTTCCTGAACCGATTATGTGCCTCTGTAACCCTTTCCACCACCGCCCACGGGATGGGTATGGGGGGTACATAATAAAGAAAGAAATTGAATTGATACACCTCTGATTGGCTCGCTCGACCTCAGCCACTGACGTCAGGTGATCCGTTACATCCCGTCGCGCAAATGAACAGGCCTCCCGGAAAGGAATGAAACAACGACCAGCATCAACTCCAAGTACTCGGTTTTGGGTCTTAAAACACGAGTCTGCGACTTGAACTGGTCGGTAGAGCGACAGCTTCTCTTCTTGCCGGGTCGGGCTTCCGTACCCCCGGCGGCTCTAGTCGCCGGACACCGTTCCTTGACTTGATCCTCATATCCCAGCTCTAAGTTGGTCCTCATCCCCCTTACAGGTGTTATATATTCATCCTGGCTTAGCGCTTTCATCTTTTACCCCAAGGATTATCAACGCCCTCTGTGTGTGTGTGTACACACATGTTTTATCCAGCTCTCACAACTGTTTAATTCGGGAATTAAGACCAGAGCTATTTTCAGTTGGCTATAAACCCTGGTAGCTGGCAGCATTGTCTGCCAATTATATTTAATATTATTATTATTCAGAAAATCAGTAGGAGTCATGAAATGGATTCGAACCTACGCTCTGGGTACTCCCAAGCTTTGAGTATCCAGAGCATGGGTTCGAATCCTCCAGCTGGCTCCTTCTGATTTCACATTCATACATCACGTTACTGTGATTCCTTTGTGCCTTATTATCATCATCATCCATGTACCTCTGTCTGTCGGTGTGATCCGCAGGCACAGTAGTACGAAGAGGTCACCTAATTGGCCTCGCCTAATTGGACTTACGAGGGCTGAGCTTCGACTCATTGCACCCGCATCTATCAACCAGCAAATTGGCTCAATACCGGCTAAGATTGCTATAGGTGTCGATAACTTGATAATTTGGTATGACCGGCAATGTTTTCAAAGCAACTTTGACTTGTGGAAAAAATTGTATTGAACTTGAAATGGTGTGAAAATATTCCTACACATTACATTATATTTTTTTCCAGACGTGTATTGTTGTGGTTGTCTCTGGAGGAGGTGTGTGTGTGGTAGGGAGGAAGAGTAAGGAGGGGGGGGGGAATTGGAGGAGGAGAGGGAAGGGGAAGTGTGAGGTAGAGGGGAGGAGGGGGGGGGAGGGCCGCCAGCCTCAGAGTGGGGTCCAAGTGTCTGGTGTAAAGGGCCGGGTTCTCTCGCCCACTCTTCCCCAGCTTTCTCAATTGAAATCGAATCCTTCCGTTGAAAAGGTTCATCAGAGCCAAAAATAGTTGTGCGTTCTCTTGGCGAGCCACCGCGTGAGAGTGATACACGCGTAGACACACACACACACACACACACACACACACACACACACACACACACACACACACACACACACACACACACACACACACACACACACACACGCACGCACACGCACACGCACACACACAGGGGGGGGGGCCTCGTAGCCTGGTGGATAGCGCGCAGGACGCGTAATTCTGTGGCGCGGGTTCGATTCCCGCACCAGGCAGAAACAAATGGGCAAAGTTTCTTTCACCCTGAATGATCCTGTTACCTAGCAGTAAATAGGTACCTTGGAGTTAGTCAGCTGTCACGGACGGCGTGTGTGTGTGTACTCACCTAGTTGTACTCACCTAGTTGTGTCTGCAGGATCGAGCATTGACTCTTGGATCCCGCCTTTCGAGCATCGGTTGTTTACAGCAATGACTCCTGTCCTATTTCCCTATCATACCTGGTTTTAAAATTATGAATAGTATTTGCTTCCACAACCTGTTCCTGAAGTGCATTCCACTTCCCCACTACTCTCACGCTAAAAGAAAACTTCCTAACATCTCTGTGACTCATCTGAGTTTCAAGCTTCCATCCATGTTCTGTTACTATTCCGTGTGAACATTTCGTCTATGTCCACTCTGTCAATTCCTCTGAGTATCTTATACGTTCCTATCATGTCCCCCCTCTCCCTTCTTCTTTCTAGTGTCGTAAGGCACAGTTCCCTCAGGCGCTCTTCATACCCCATCCCTCGTAGCTCTGGGACGAGTCTCGTTGCAAACCTCTGAACCTTTTCCAGTTTCATTATATGCTTCTTCAGATGGGGACTCCATGATGAGGCGGCATACTCTAAGACTGGCCTTACGTAGGCAGTGTAAAGCGCCCTAAATGCCTCCTTACTTAGGTTTCTGAATGATGTTCTAACTTTTGCCAGTGTAGAGTACGCTGCTGTCGTTATCCTATTAATATGTGCCTCAGGAGATAGATTAGGTGTTACGTCCACCCCCAGGTCTCTTTCACGCGTCGTTACAGGTAGGCTGTTCCCCTTCATTGTGTACTGTCCCTTTGGTCTCCTATCTCCTAGTCCCATTTCCATAACTTTACATTTGCTCGTGTTGAATTCTAGTAGCCATTTCTCTGACCATCTCTGCAATCTGTTCAGGTCCTCTTGGAGGATCCTGCAATCCTCATCTGTCACAACTCTTCTCATTAACTTTGCATCATCCGCAAACATCGACATGTAGGACTCTACGCCTGTAAACATGTCGTTAACATATACAAGAAATAGAATTGGTCCCAGCACCGATCCTTGTGGTACTCCACTTGTTACTGTTCGCCAGTCCGACTTCTCGCCCC